TGGCGGAGTGGTCTGAGAGTCCACCAAAGACTTATCAAGTAAACAGTCCTTACTTTTAGCTGTTTTTCCTACTCTTCTGCGTTTACACTTCATCCATATTCCGTCAGCCGTAGCATCTACAATGGAACTGCTCGGGACAATAATTGTTTTATCTGGATCACCAGTTGCTGCTGTAGCAACATGGCCACCAACATCTAATGAGGTGTCACTCATTGATTGTTTCGAGGTAAAAATTTTGATTTCGGGTTGCGCAGTTAGATGTCTGACTCGCGCCGTGACAGCACTTACGACACTAACGCGATCTTCGCTATCGGCACCAATATTGTCAGTGCAGCCCTCGTCGACCTTCTTATTAGCCAACACCAGGAGGCTAATGGCTTCCTGGATGAGTGTTGTTTTGTTTGAGCAACAAAAACTACAAAGCCAATGAGAATTGGGCTTCGAGCACCTTTTATATGCAGCGGGGCTTAGTCGGGTGCACATCTTGTGGAACCACTTCTTACACTCATCACATTGCATCCCTTCCTCCACGGGGAATAAGCAACATGGTTGTCCACATTTATGAGCCGATTTGGCCATCTTGAAAACCAAAAGTTTAAGATTTGTCGGAATATTTTAACATGTTTTCTACCGACGACTGTGAAAGACCAACAATTAATAGTGACACCGACAGCCATTGTTAGCATTTGTGATCATTGAGAAAAGAGCTCTTTCTCGACTTCCCCAACACCTTAAAAAAGACAAATTCAGTGGCCATAACGATATTCATTCTAGGATCATGATTGTCGAGCCTCTGGCCAAACTGTTTTTATGTGTCTTGGAGGCAGTTGTAACTGTCAAGATTCTGGAGTGACCCAACGATCAGTTCGGTCTGTAAAGAAGAAAATAGAGACCTAGTTCTTAGCTGTTGACCCTTTAGTCTAACTAGTTTAGTTTCCAATATAACAGAAGAGATTTTTTGGATGTTGACTCTAATACATGTGAAAGGTAATAAGATTTTAGCTGGGGAACAATCTGATTTTAGGAAAGGTCATCCATGCTCAACTTACTAAAGTAATTACGCCTGTTGTAGTGAATGAGAACACAAATGGGAACAATCTAATTTGTTTGAGCACACAATTACAGAATCTATTAGTAAAATCCGAGATCCATGTAGTAAATATTCCATTTGAAAATATCAATCAACCGTCTGGGACTCCATTGTTCTTTCGTTCCTACACTAATCATTCTCTGTTCTTGTTCTGTTTTCTTCGACCTTCTTAGCCTTCTGCCGCCAGGTATTTCACTTTAGATTGACGGTGCACACTAATTATATCTGTTGACGTCAGTAGCACACACCGCACTGCTAGTAAGTAGGCAATCTTGACGAAGTGAAGCTGCTTCATTTAGCCACATGCCTCCTCAATATGTATGTAGCGCCGTTGGTTGTTGTTACTTTCCTCCAAAAATGCCCAGTATTTATCTCTTCGTATTGTTTTGCAAACCGGTAAGTGACGGTTTTCCTTCTCATTTTCTAATCAGAGTGTATAATTTAAATGCTCTTCGTAACAAACACCTGTTTTCAATCTGATTATATTGTAACAGTGTAAGCGAGCAAACTGTATATTGATAAAATGATAGGACAGAATACAAGTAGAAACAGTCTTGAATTTCGTCTGCCTAGGTTATTGCTTCTGATATACATTCAGGCCACATGACTAAATAGGCCATGTTCATGCTAAGAGGAAAGCCTATGACTATTACCCGAAGCATTTCAATAGAAACACCTGGGCTGAGCTTGGAAACATTCTCTTTCGCCATATTCACTATAGCAGCAACTTTCGATAACAAGCTTGTTGTATTCAAGCAACATTACGGGTATGACCACACACAAAAGCCGACGTCTATCAAATGCCGGGAATGCTACAGGTTTCCTCCATTTGTTGTATCCTACATATAGTTCACTTTATTAGAAATTCGAGTCCTGTCGATTAGCAGCATCATTTGCGGCCTGATATACTAGGAAGCCCGAAATTTATTTTCCTAAAACGGTTTTCCGTTTAGACCTATTGACGAGGATTTTAATTGCTCGAAAATCATCAGTCATTCTACACATTCGGATGGATATACCAATGTATTAATGAACGAGAAACACGGTTTATAATGTGTTTACTTATTCTAATGACAGAGCAATTATTCATATACTTTTTGCCATCTGAACTTGGAGTAGAAAATGTGATCAAATAATGAATCAGTCAACGATGACCAGGTCTGCCTTTAATGTAGAACTTACCATTAAACTACCTATTTTTGACTACCAAAAGCCTTTGAATGAATAGAGATTCTGTTTGGAAGATCTGGTGTAACAACATAATTCATACTTTACAATTTTCTAAATTCATGATTTATAGCTTTATTGTGCGCTTTATAAATGTTTGTTAATTCAATAGGTGATCGAAATAAAACAGATGATTATCACCCATACCTCCGTATTCAAAATACATGAGGCTGCTGTTATTAAGCGACACATATGGAAAGCATCTACAAGAGAACATATGTTATAGCAATAATTTTTCTTAAATTCGCACCACTTTGCATTCAGTAACTGACCGGTACGCATAAGTATCCATTCTCATAAAATATCACAAATAAGCGTGATTGACATCCAGACATAATAAGGTAGCTAATAATCTAAAACACGTAAGCTTAAATAGCAGTATGATATATGGCTTTAATGGTTGGCTAACCTGATAAAGGTGAAAAATTCAGATTCGCAAGCCTCGAAATGTGGGCGAAAAACACATCGAGTCATCAAGACAACTGCAAACAAATCGAATACTTGTTGGATTGGCTAAGGTAAGAATTGTATTGTGAGGGGAAGTAAATTCAGCATTCTAGTCTCCGCTTCTAATATACTTAACTTTGCCTCACAGAACTAAGCAGAACCTCAGGAAAAGTCCCCTCATTGTTACTGATTTTAATATTTGATATAGGTATACTGTAAATCTTGAGAGCGGGACCAAGAATGTTATCAGGAGTCTGTGTGCGACTAAAAAACCATTTATAATTCAATTTACTTTTTAGACCTGATGTATGTATACATGTTCTAAACGTTTATTTCAAAGGTTTGTGGTTTGTCTTAGCTCCTCTGAAATTTGGGAAAAATCGCACCACACAATCCTCAAAGGCGAACACGAGACAACTGGGAAAATAGACATTCGACATTTAAGGCGGAGAAAACATTAACGATGGAGAAGATGGGAGGGGTGAATTGAACTAATTCGAATTGATCGGATGGCATGGCTAGGCATCGAAGGCGTTGTCGCTCTGCACAACCTGCTTTTACTCGTATTAAACATGTTGTACTATCTCCAGCCCGAATGTGCTCTCCAGCATATATTGTTAAGTGTTACTATAGGGTGATTCAGTGTGACTGCCACTTAAGATTAGGCAGCTGCATTATGACAAATGTACAATTTTAGGATTAGGTTTATTATTGGTAATAATTATGTATTTGTGCAAGTGCAGATACACGTCATTTTTACAGGCAGGATCTACAAAGTACAATATTTATTGCTTCACAGTATGCATGTTGAACAAATATGTAAGATACATTCTGAATGTTGAATATCAGCTTGTTCCTTCAGATATGCTGAGTGATCTTCAAAATATCCTCCAATATGGCATCGTATCTACGTTACATACCAGATCCAATCTCGGCATAATTATGTTAGGATTTTGGTTGTGAGAAGTATTTCTGCAATGCAAATTTTAAGTTCATAGTTGTTATTTCCATTGGCGCAGTAACAATGAGTTCAATTAACAAAGTAATTCCGTATGCATTTTTCTTGGACTTTAAGCCTTATTAAATTAAAAAATCGAAATTTTAAGGTCAGGGTCAACTTCAATATATCACAGGCTATGAAATGTTTTAGTGTGGTCTCCTAGGGCTCAGTACTAGGACTTCTTCTCTACTTGATTTATATAAATGATCTCCCTCAAAAGGTACCGTCAGACTTATTACTTCTTGCCGATGACGTGAAACTCTGGAGAGAGAGATACACAACCAAGACGATATACAGGCACTTCAGGAGGATCTGACTCGACTTCAAAGTTGGGCAGACGAGAACGGACTTAGCTTTAACACTTCAAAGTGTAAAGTAGTCCACCTGCAAAATGTCGCAGGCTACAATTACAACTTAGAAAACTCCTCTGTAGTAGTACTCCGAATCGAAAAAATTTAGTAGTGCTGGTACTCTACGATTTAAAGTCTTACGTTAACTGTGACAAAAATGCTTTTCGAGCAAACCTTGCACTGGTAACATTGAAACGCATTTTTGGCCGGTTTGACGGGAGAGCTTTCCACATAATCTTCAGCGGTTTTATTCATCCTTATTTGGAGTACAGAAACACAGTATTTACTCCCTCACTGCAAAAGGATAAGGACAATCTGGAGCGTATCCAACGGCGAGCCACGAAATCAGCTCAAGGACTCAAATTCAAACCTTATGATGAGCGCATCCAATCACTTGACATTTTTCCATTAGAGTATAGGCGTCTTGGAGGTGACCTTCTAATGGCTTACAGTATTCCTAACACTTCTGTACATTCTCTTAAACACCTAATTAAGCTTAGTCCCAACACTAAACGAAGGGGTAACACCCAAAAATTGGAGATACAACATAGTACAATGGACTGCAGGCACAACTTATACTCCTTAAGAGTTGTCAAATGCTGGAATTCGCTGCCGGCCGAGCTAGTTCAAGTGACTTCCTGGAGTCCTTTAAGAGGCGACTTGATCTATTCTTAAGGACCAACGATAGTATCTTACTATGATTTACCAATTTATTTTTTTCTCTTTTATCGTTATTATTTCTAGGTTATTGACTGGAGGTATTGATGATCGACTGCTACTAGACACGGAAGCCTGTTAAGCGAAAGCTTCTTCTATTCCATCTACAACCATTTGAACCGTTTGAACAAAAGCAGAAGGCGGTGTTTTCGGATCGAAGGTCGTTGTGATGTCACTAGACCCGAAGTACGCGGACTTACCATGGATTGTGAGTTAATTTTGTCCTAAAATTCTTTCCTGAATCTAGGCTCATGGACAACCAGATGTCTACGAGGCTGGGGAACTCCCAGAAGCAGATCAAATGATGAAGGTGAGATCTGCAACGGTCCCTATATATCTTTTAAGGAAACCGTCGAGGATACAATGTCGGCTAGAGAGATAGAGGTTGTTAAACTGTCAGTATCAGAAGCACATAAACGATTTGCTGGCTGTAAGGTTGATTCTTCAAACGTTGGTCAGTTATTAAAAGACACAAAATTACTCTTGTTGATTAGACTTTTCCGACTCAATATCTGGGAATGGTAAAATTGGATATGCAATAGAAACGGATCAGTATGATTTTGTAAGCTTTGAAACGTACTTTTATCCTTAGTTTTCTCCCGAGTCAAAGGATAAAGAGTCATTTGTGAACAGATTCCAGCGTTTGCAGACAGAGACGCATCAGCTAATTAGTGACCTACAAGCTGTATCAGACCAAAATAATCTAAACCCAAAAGAACCTTTTTCTACTGCTCAACTACTGTCGTGCGCAGAAATGTTATCTGAGAAGTTATCAACGATTAATCCTGCCGAATTGTCTACTGTATGCTCGGACTCATCTGATACTGTTGGTCAAACGTTGCATAGGTAATATTATCATATGTAATTAAATAATCTACCTGGTACACCCATATTGCGACCTTAAAAGTGGGGTGATGTCATCCAGACATTGGACGAACCGCTATTGGATGGATACTTGTTTCAAACTCACAATAACAACTTAACTAAACGATTAATTCATTGGTTATTCGTTCAGAAAACCATTGATAAATCAGTTAAGCCACTGGGTTTTGAGACAGCGTTTCACAAGCTCACATAGTACTCCACCTGTCAAGGATTATGTTTCTAAATAATTCACTCGTTATGTAATGAATTTAGGTCGTCACATAGTGTTTGAAACTATACATTGACACTATCACATCGTGCTATCAAATTATAGACTTTAGTTAATCATATACCATTTCTTAAAAGTTAGACTTTTAATAATAAGAATAGATTCAAATAGGTGATGGCGATGTGCTCACTTTGAAGTGACTAGAATCTATAAGTCTTTTGTCATATAATACTCGTTAACTGATATCACAAAAGATACAAGTAATATTGTAGTAGTTCAGTCCATATCTTGTACTCATAATTGCAGTCTTATCCATTGGAAAGCGTTTGTTTCCTGTTCACTTAAAAACAGACATGTCTAAAAGGTCAAAATAATGAAAATCCGTAAAATCCAATTGTTGTTCTTAGGTATATAATTTCTAAGGTACTCCACATGCATTTGACCCTGATGGTACGAGTTAATTGGTTTTAGCGTCTTCTTTGCACCTATTAAAAATTCGAATTAAGAAAAAAACAGTCTAACCCGTGATGCATTTAGTGTAAACTTTCCATACAGTAAAGCAATGGAGTATGTATATCTCAATCGGTAGGAAGTTTTTTATCCACTCTCTGAAGAGGAGACTTGAACCAAGTTACGAAATGTTAAAATCTCACCTTTTTCTCATTTAAATATTACAAATATATTGTTTTACTATCATAAGCAGTCCATCCACGGTTAGGTTCTCGGGATGATATTCGTACTGTACCATCAGTCAAATGTTGGAAGAATTGGGTGACAAATCTCATTTGTGTCTGTTGATATAAAAGCTGTTGGTGTACCCTATGATCCCAGAGAGAATTGGTTGATGCATTTCAGGAAAAATTATTTCGTAGAAGACATAGTCATCCACACAACTGAAAAATTATGATCTAAATACACAAGCGTTCATTTAGAAGTACAGATTTTACACTGTTGATTTATTTCTTCATGATAACATAAACATAAGTGTATCATCCAACCCCTCGTTCATGGATATTACTTCTAACATAGATAATGGTTGTCTGCCATATTAAACTTGCAAGTTTATCAGTCTATCTTTTAATTTCTAGTAAAATTTTGAGACAGATTGATGAGTTCAAACCGGAAAAACCAGCTTCTAGAATTCCAAACAAGTCAAATCATTTAATCTACGAAATATATGACCGAAAGAGCTCTATCCAGCAATCAGATACTGAAAAAGTAAGTAACTCCACAGATTCCTTGTGCTTCTAAATTGTCATAGTTCAATTTGCTTCACGTCCCCAAATACCCTGGTACGGCCGAGAGTGGGATGAATCAACTCTCACTCTCAAAATGTCCTCACATGACCACGCGCATACAACCACTGACAGGGAAGTCCTACTCACTACCTCTTCGCGGCGGGGATGTTGTTTACGAAATCGAGGGGACACAAAGCGAATGTCTGGCGCTTTAACCAGGTTAATAGATATGGAGGACCCACCTAGGGAAGTTGTAAAATTCTGACTCCAAACCAATGCTACACATGAGCACCAGGATCGTGATGGAATAAACGGCGTATGAACCTAATCGTTGATCTTCGGCCACCATGAGACTGCATCTCCTTACGTTGCTGCACTGCCTTGTGGAGTAGACCTTTATGTCAAAGGTTCGGGGCCTGGACCCCTAAAAATACCACCCACCATGATTTGGGCGCCTGGGGCGACACTTCAGCCCTCACACAAATCGGATGATTTATATGGCGTATATCTATTTGGTGCCTCCTTGTAGCGATATTTGTGTTTAAATAAATTAATTAGTTAAAATTGATAGCTTGGTGAATGTATGTAGTTGATCTTTCACTTATTTCTGGATAAAAACAATTATTTTTAACTACAAATACCGTAACCGAAGTTCATTGTCTCCAATAACGAACTAACAGGTCATATATATAACAACAACCATTAAAGGTGATTCATTCAGCTCAATTTCGGTGATGTAACAGGTTGCATTGAACCTATATTTCGATCAAGATATTCTCCAAAACAGTAAAAAAGTGTGAGACTATAATTTATGGACGACCTTTGAGCGACACTAAAGTGACTGAGAATGTCCACCTGCTTGCTAGGGTTAGATGGGGTTTATGAACCCTTATGAAGAGCAAAGATTATGATTCGCAGTTGGTGTTTAGGGTTTTCATCACGAACTGACATCCGCTAAAACACCGAGACACTATTTAATTAAGTGGACGAATGAAATTTGTGCCAAAGTCCAGGACCTGTCATCTTAAATCTGATAGTTTTATATTGGACTTGTCTAAACATATGGCTTTGCAAGATCCTAAAATTGGTGTACCATTTCAGGTGGCGGATATCGATCGTCGGATTCATCGCATCGAAGCTCTTATTGGCCAGCCAGATCCTAACAAACTCAGCTCTAACAGCAGATACAACTACTCATGGTCTTCTAGAAGCATGTTCGCGTCTGTCCGCTCGTTCGTCGTTATTTCAGCAAGGATATCTTGATATGATTGAAGCTCGCTTAGCATCATTGCAGGGAAAGTTACAAGCTGTTACTGAAAAGCGAGAGGCTATCGCGGACTATGATATGCAAAATAAAGTGAGTTGATGTCTTGCGTTGTGTCGCTTCAAAATGTCACCCATTTACAATATGCTAAGAATGAGTTCTGTCTGGTTGTTAGGGCTCATCATAGTTTTACTTGCATATGAATTTGTCGGACTGTAAACTGCATCCATCGTTGTCTGAAATAACTATAATTTGCCTCAATGTTTTACTTCCAAATTTATGACTAACAGTTTCTTGTTCGAGAAAGTTAAGTTGGAGTTTTCAGCTTAGCAAACAACTTTGCTGTCAGTCAGTCGTAGGTATCCTAGAAGTGGACACATGTACGCTAGTTCAGTTCATCAAATCACAGCCAGGACAGGAGGATAAAACTTTCAAGATCAGTACCAAAGTAGGGGTAGTATCAAAAAAGATATGTCGTAGAAAATGTGATCCTCAAGGAAATAATGAACCTACTTAATAGGGAGCACTAAATAATTTTAAAAGGTCAAAGAAAGACAAAAGATGAACGAAGTTGTTTCATTGTGACAAGATGCGGGGTCCACCTTAGTTTAAAATTCCTTCAGAAAGCGAATACAGGATCTTCTTTCCACTCTTCTACTATACTAGCTTAGAGAAGTACATGAAAATTACTAAGTATATTTCGAAGTGACTGATATGGTATCTCTACACCATCTGCATTATTAAGCACTATTGTGCAATGGAATTAATATTAGCCTATTGATTTCGAAAATATGTTATTCTTATATAAAAACTAAACAGAATATAGTATAAGGAATCTAATTTTTTACTTCTATCAACAGATTTAATACTAAAATTCAGTTTAAAAGCCTACGAAACTAACGTGGAAAACTAAATAAATTAGAAACAAACCTAGTTATACATACCTTTGGTACTTTTAAGTGAGTTATTGCATTGTTTGCTATACTACTAGCGTTTCCACAGGATATTTTCAACAGGTAAAATTCTCCTCACTTTATTTATATACATCCTGGTGAGTTCGCTGACTAGAGATTATCAGTAGAGCTTAAGGCTCCACACTTCTTTTTAACCGAATTATTGAACAACAACGAGCTATCTTGCTGAGTGATGACCTAAAGACTTCATAATATGAACAAATACACTTACTATTATCTAACTTTAGATCGCAGAACTTTACGAACTGGTAAAGAAATGGAATGATGTAGCCGAAAGTTTACCTGTGATTGTAGAACGACTTAGCACCCTAAAATCACTACATGAAGAAGGTAAGCAGAATATATGATTTGACATGTAGCTTATCTTGTTCGCTTTCTGAAACTCCTGTTTTGTATTTACTGTGGGATGATGGTATAATGGTTATAACAGTTGGACCGCACTTGGTATACCTCGGTTTGATTAACTAATTGAGTCCTTTCAAAAAATAGTATGACTTAAAATAAAATACATAACCCCCTACCTTGGCTCTTGAGCTGGATAGCCAATTGTATTACTAGAATGACTTATGTAAGCAACAGATCACGAACTGTTCAGTTGAATACTAATACCACTTCATAAAACTATCACTTTGATTAAACATAAAACTTCACAAAACCTAACCCCACCACTTGATGCAAACCAACATATGTAAATTTTATTACAAAATAATATCCAAATGCAATATTAGAAAATATTTTGATTGGAAAGCATCGGGACTCAAAATTGAATGCATCTCGTCAGACCAAACAGACTGTATATTATATGGGTTAAGTTGGGCAAATGAAGAGTTGAGTACATATTTCGAAGCTCATATCCTTCAGTCAATTATTTAAATGACATCTGTTTATGTTAGGTTTTATATATAATATTTTGTGTAAAAGTATACTACTTTACTTAAGAAGAGAGGCCATTCCGCTAGTCGGTTGCGTCGCTTTCGATATTCGTTTATTTAGGGCCGTGCACTAGGTATGATAAAATTAGTTCATTGAAGTGAAGGGGTGCCTTAGTTGTTAAATAATTGGACTACTAACCATTTAGTTGCAAGTTTGAACCTCTCTTCATTTATGTTTGTTCGGGCAGACAAGTAGTATTATTTTATTGTAACACATGGGTATTGGTACAAGGAGGCACCAAATACATATGCGTCACACGAATCTCAATTGATCTGTGTGAGGGCTGTGATACTGCCCGGGTGCCCAGACCGAAGCAGGTGGTTTTCTTAGAGGGCCACACCCCGAGCCTCCGACCTGAACGTCTGACCCACAAGGCAGTGGAGCATCGTAAGGAGATGCAGTCCCATGGTAGCCAGTGACCAAGGGATCGGTTCATACGCCATTTGTTCCTTCAGGATACTGGAGCCCATGTGCACCATTGGTTTGGGATCCGGTTATAGCGCCGGACATTCGTTTTTCGTCCTCTCATTTTCGTAAACAACACCCCCGCCACGTGAAGGCAGTGAGTAGGACTTCCCTGGCAGAGGCTATATACGCGTGGCCATGTGAGAGCATTTCGAGAGGGAGAGCGGACTCTCCCCACTCTCGGCCGTACCAAGGCATTTGGGGGCAGACAAGTAGTATTAACATCTATACAACTGTAGTTTGGCTTAAGGCGAAATACATATAACCATGATTCATAAACAAGTCACGTTATTCTTTATTAAATAGGTACTATGAACACTGTTCATCTCATCACAAATGGTCATGTAAAACAATTGCCTATTAAATAATATTTTAGCAGATTTTCCTACTAACCTGACTTTTTCCATAGTAAATCATATGATAATTCAAAACGATAGTTATTTTTGCTAACTCTGTCAGATACGTTCATCATTTCACTTTTTAAAAATGAAAACTACTCATAGTTGGAAGTACCTCATTTATCTCTATATTACTGATTGATAATTTACTTATCAATCTACTAACCAAACGTAATCATTTGTTATACTTTCAGCATCACAATTTAGCCACTCTCTGTGTACAATAGAATCAAGTCAAAAAAATGTGGAAGGAAGTTTATCTTCATATACCAAACTTTTAGAAGAGGTAGCTTCATCCTACATTAGTTTCGTTTTATTTCAGGTACAAAACAATGTTATCAAGAACATGGAGGTTATAAAGGACAACTTCACCACCATAGAATCACATTTTCCAATTAGTTCTAAATAAGTAATTTGCTGAGTATACTCGTTGTTGAAAACATTCTCTTCACTCAGTCTTACTTTTGAAACAATATTCTTTACGCAATGGTTTATTGACAAATACTGGTTTGTGGTTTTTAATTACATTCATTATAATTTGAAATCCCATTTTGTCTTCCAGTTCGTTTTGAGACCATTTGCTTAGTAAAGACGGTGTGGTTTATCTGAAGTAGGTTGCCGGAAACACGAAAACACTAAATTCTTTCGTTTTCAATAATAAGACTTTCAGTCACCGTAGGAAAGTATTGTTTTTTGACAATAATCTGCTAGTTGATGTACCACAGAAGGAAACTTAGAAGCAAAGATTAATTAATGTTCGTTCGCATTTTTTAATTATAAATTTTGGCATATACTGTGGATGGATTCCAACTGCAACAACCAATTACTACTTTCACATAAGTATGAAGATTCACCCTTATTTTCTTAACCTATGAAGTAAATCCAATACAATGTTTTAAAAATCAATTTATCGTTAATACGCACTATATTTGAAGATAGAGTGAAATAGAAGTACACAAATTTTCAAAAATATGTCTGGGAATTTGAAGCAAACAAACTACCAAGCATGCGGCCACAAACGTTTCCGTCCATCAATAAGTCTCTTAAAAATGAGCGCCCGCCCTTCAGGAGTGGACATCCTAACTGATTCCGACATTTTGTTTTCTCGACGAGAAAGCAATATAGTGTATAGTCTTTTGCGAGGCCTCTGGGTCGGACCTATTCTGTCGTGTATGATTCGCATCATCAATTCGTACGACTTAGGAAGGCGATTGTTCCGATCATTTGGTCCGACTTCTTTCGTTGTCTAAACGAACGAATAACATCCAATTATAATAATATACAATGATTAAAAGTTTTGATCAATTAAGCAACACAGGAACCCTAATGCAATAAGACATGATTGATTAATTTACTAACTGCTAGTAGTACGTACAGTTGGTACTCTACGACCCGAAAACCTTTCACAAATGATTTTATTTGTTGACACCACACGGTTATGATGAGCGTAAAATTAATACACCAAAGCGTTTAGCTTGAGGTTGGATACCTTAATATAAACGTCATCTGAGCTGCAAACGATCGGTGATTTGAGTGCTCAAGTAACCGAAAGAAATTGAGCGGATTTTACGGCGTAGCGTGACCGTCTTTTGCAATTATGCCGACGTAGCCGTTTATTTCAGGCAACACCTCAGTCAGCTACTACGTAGAACAAAGCATATATGTGCATCAGTTCAAGTTGCCACACATCATCAGCACAAGATGAAAACCCAAATTTTAGAGGCAGTTACTTCAATGATAGTAAAATAGAGATTTCATATAAGGATATGATACAGAGAAAAAGAATTAGTTCGTTTAATGACAGGTATAAAATAATCTCACGGTTTAGGGGAAGGCAAGGAGTGTATATACCGACGCCATTGCAGTCAATGTCACACAGATTCTCCAACAATTCGTTACGAAAGACACGAGTTATCAGAAGACTGTGTTTTATCAGCGTCTTCACCAAACAGGACAGCGTATTTCAAGTCGATAAGTGGACCTGCTGGAAGTCCTGAAAGTTCGACCAACGAGAATGTTATTTCCAGCAGTAGGTCTGTGATGAAATTAAACAGAAATAGAAATAGTGAACAGCCTTGCTAGACACCACTTGAGGTTGCAAAATCAAGAAAGACTATCACTATCGGTGCCGATAAGTATGCCTGTTTTCTAAAACCCATCAAATGATGAATATGTAGTCGATGCAGCTACGACTAGGCTCAAAGCCAGTCTGATTTCCTCGTGTTTGCGGTTCACGAGTCCTTGTTAAGTACCCAGTAATTATTCAGGCTAGTATTTTTGATGCTATATTAGTCAAACGAATTCCCCTATGGTTATCACAGGATTATTTTGACCCCTTCTCATATATTCGGACAATCAGTGATTGAGACCAGTCAGATGGATTTACATTCACTTTCCAGATTTCAGCTAAAATATTAGTCAACCTAATCGCTTGAGTCAGAGGATCTACTTCAATATTCCATCCAAGCTGTCTAGGAATGGTGAATACTGTTTGAACGGGTAGTTTTATAAAAAAGTTCAGAAAGCTTTCTGTAAAATTCACCTTCCACTTCATCTGAGCTGCAGTCAGTGGAAACATAGGCAGAAACGACAAAAAGGCACCAACATGTGTCCCCATCCTTCTGAGTTCTTATAGAGCCGTTTAGCCGAACAGCACGTAGGCGACTGTTAACGGGAATGCATTCTAGTAGTGCTTGTTCCGCCTTCATGCTTAGTACTATACCTACATCTGCCAGTTCACGAGAACTAGCTATCGGGTCGCCAGATAGACGGAGAGTGTATCTCGTCGGCTCTCCGTTTAGGCGAGGTGAGGTCAAGTGACTGACCACACTAGGATCCTGTATACGTGTTTCCGAGACACAGCACACATCGATCGTACGAGATTCTAGGGATTTAGCCAAGTAGGCATGCTAACTGATTTGGCAAAGTGTACGTACGTTGAAGGCTCCAATGTGTAGTTTGGAGCGAGGTTTCGGTAGACCTGAGTTGAAAGATGGCTAGGAGGAGTAATGCCCTGGTACGGCCGAGAGTGGGATGAGTCAACTCTCACTCTCAAAATGTCCTCACATGACCACGCGCATACAACCACTGACAGGGAAGTCCTACTCACTACCTCTTCGCGGCGGGGATGTTGTTTACGAAATCGAGGGGACACAAAGCGAATATCTGGCGCTTTAACCAGGTTAATAGATATGGAGGACCCACCTAGGGAAGTTGTAAAATTCTGACTTCAAACCAATGCTACACATGAGCACCAGGATCGTGATGGAATAAACGGCGTATGAACCTAATCGTTGATCTTCGGCCACCATGAGACTGCATCTCCTTACGTTGCTGCACTGCCTTGTGGAGTAGACCTTTATGTCAAAGGTTCGGGGCCTGGACCCCTAAAAATACCACCCACCATGATTTGGGCGCCTGGGGCGACACTTCAGCCCTCACACAAATCGGATGATTTATATGGCGCACATCTATTTGGTGCCTTCTTGTACCTACGTTTATGTGTTTAAATACATAAAATTGGAGGGATAATAGAAATTGAAGTGGGAGATTGAATATGAATACAGAGATCTTGGGTGCTGTCGGAGGTATGAGATCAGTTATCACTTCCCCATTGCCCACATCGTGGAAGGGTTCTTCTGGAGGTGCCTGAAAAGGAAATTTGGTTAGGAGTGGCCTTAGTAAACTGAAAGCGTGACTGCAATGCCCAAGCGACAACTGATTGTGGTTCGTCACACACGACCTTTTGTGAGTGATTTTCGTGTTAGCTTTGTACTTATGGGACCTTACCTCCTGAGACGGATATCAGTGAGATAAGGCGAGTTGTGCATTTTTGGTGTCGACCTATTCTCACCCCACCCTTTATTTTTGGGAAGGCAGCATTGCTGTTATGGTGGGTGTCTGAGAGAAACACTTTACACAAATTTTGAACATAAGGAGAAACATCGTCAGAAATGGAAACCACAAACAACTCATGGATGGACTCAAATAGATCACATTATCACTAGCCATCGTTGGAGGGACTCAATAAGAGACCGTCGCTTATTCCGAAGAACATAGTTAGACTTGGGTCGTGCTGATTCGAGCACGTTTTTGTCTGACGAAAAAAACTAAGAATATATTTTCAGAACAACTGAACCCGATGGACAAACTCCCGAGATTTTTAGAGATAGTGGTGTAGTTTTGGCAGTTACAATAAATAAATCTGAGCTAAAATCTCGGGTCTGGATGTAATTTCACTTGACAGGTGTTGATCAATGATCATCCCAGTCTGTGAGAAAGGATAAAAATCCTCTTGTGAGGAGGCAGTTTAACTAATCTAGTGTCTAAAATGTTAGCCTCAATAATACCTCGACGTCTAACTATAGCTCATGAAGAGCAAACCCGAGGAAATTAGGCTGGCTTTAGACCTGAGGGTGGATGTACAAATCAAATATTTACCCTTCGGCAGATTCTGTAACATAGACATACTTTCTGATGTCCGAGTATAGTTGTATTCGTTAACCACAAGGCGGTGTTTAACTCCGTTGATCATGAGGTTCTAGGGTTATGTCCCACTGAAAGGTGTATCAGATAACTACATCAACCTTATACAGGTTCTTTACGCGTACACTTCTGATCGAGTCCGAACTTATTGAGAACTGTCATTGGAATTAGTTAAAGTGGCATTCACCAGGGTTGTCCGCTTTACCCATTTTTATTTAACTTTTAGGAATAAAATATCGTCTGACTATTCAGTGATTGATATTGTATCAGGACATTTACTTATTGACTTAGAATACACAGATGATATAATTCTGTTTGTTGAAGATGCTGACCACCTTAGGCAACAATGCAAGCAAGTTTTGTGACACAGATCTCTCCCTCTAAATACGAAATGTTACTCCATGATTGGCTTGCGTCATCGTTTGAATGATAGGGAGTGAAGTGATTGAACGCATCGACCGCCTCACTTATTTTGAGTCTCGAAAGTTTTGATGGTCTGGTGTCTGACGAAATCTCGGCACGGATTCAGAAGTTTCGATTGGTTTTTACTAACCTGTGACGGGAGATGTTTGATGGTGCAGGAGTAGGCTGGAAGAAAGCTAAAGGTGGACAAACCAAAACATGGAATCAGTTCGTAAAGTTACTAACAACTGGATTTAGCCATATTAATGAGTAAATATGTTACGGTTCAAAATCGTTTGCAATGGCGTACGTGCATCCTTCCTTTGTCACCCTTCAAATTCCGAGATTCTAAATTCCCCATAACTTTCTTTTGTTTATATTTTACGAATTTATATTTTCTTCTCGGATCATATCTTCCTGATTACCACTGATACTGTTTTTACCTGTGCTATTCTGAGATCTGGCTTGACTTCCTTTCTCTGTACTAATGGGGTATGGGAACATGGATCGATGTACACATGTACTAGGTTCTACGTTGTGATTGACTATCTAACCGATGTTTTCTGTATATTCGAGACCTGAAGTACTAAAAGTCCGTCTTCCATCTGTCGCTTGTTTCACGTGCGTCAAAACAGATATTGTAGCAATAGCCAGGGATTTGGATACATAGATCGGGCATCTAGTCACAGACTCGACTGGTCGACTAATGGAAACTTATTAGTTCCAGGTTGAATAACAGTGGATATCTGCTACAACCTTGCGCAGACCACAGCCAGGACCAACTTTCTATACATTCATCGCCGGTGAGCTCCTGGTGTTCTCTTTTTTCATCTCAAGCTTGGACCCAGGTTGATCCCATCACGACCACCTACTGTTGGCATGTTTTTGTAAAAGACTGCCGCTCCTTCTAAACCAGCTATCTGGACTCTGATCATGGTTTAATTTGTACCAATCTTATCTTACATTTTGGTGGTCAACAAATATCTCTTCCTAAAAGGATTAATATAAACGAATTGACTGTAGCTTCAGTTACAACCCGATATCACATCGTGATAGGTTTACGGCTAGCTATCAACCTACCAAAAAAGGATAGATGAGTATTAGATATAATTGTATGACTTCATAAAAATAGCGAGTAAAATTGCTTGTGGTTTCGCGAACAGTCCCGCTTATAGGCACTGGATTTCTTCAGGCTCCTTACAGCCCGTCGAGGCAAACTGATCTACGCTGGCTAACCGCGAGTGTGATGACAAATGTAGATTTCTATGCAAAGTTTGCGTAAAGAACGAGAAGCCTGGTGATCGGAGCGTGCTAATAAGTTGGAAGCAGCACCTACGTCAAGTAACTGTTGGAAGCTCGTTCTACTCATTTAAGCCATTGACAATAAGAAGCCTGGTGTGAGTGAAACAATCTGTGGAGATGTTGGTAAGGTGCCGATCAATAACGTCTATCGAAGTCTTGGACAATGTACAGGGTTTTTCAAAAAACAGCCCAGCTTGTCTGCTGCCTTGAGTAAATCGATCAGACTTTTTTGTTCTCCCTGGTCAGTGTCGACCGATCCATCTAAAGCGGCGGAAGTTTATAAAGAGCTCCTGCCACGAATACCATGCCAGGATGGCTGGCTTATCTCCGGTCCTCTCTAAGAATGGTGGCGACCTTCTGACTAAGGAATAGACTAGTTTGTTCAGAAACGGCGTGTCTCATTATATTAGAACCGGGCGATTTGTTCTCATCTTTAAAAAGAGGTTAAGTCACCTATGCAACTATCTAAGAATAAGTCTACTTCTGATTGCGTCTGAACTATCAGCTTCCGTTATACCATGTAGTGTTCTAAGCCCGTGAAATACTGACTCGCGAGAAGCAGGCTGTAAGTTATTTTAAAAAAAAACATTAAAAAAGATCCCAGGGGACACATGTTAAATATTACGACAAATCTACTCAAACTCACCTGCGGCTCGAAGTGTCGAATTAAGTTGAAACTACGGCAACTAAACGCCCTACTCAGTATGGGAAAAATCGGATTCCATAATGTACTAGTCATCTGCGTATACACTGATTTGTCGGAATCGACTAGTTCAGACTAAATATTAAAAGCGGATATTAAAAATTATGACCACATTGTGCTTAAAATAAAATCAGTTTTCAAACCAGTCGGTAACGCAAGACTGACATGAAAAGTAATAATGAGGTGCAAATTGTTCGGGCAGAAAATCAACAACCTTCGTTCCTTAGGGTATATATTGATAAAGACACATCAACAATATTTAAGACAATAAGAACCAAGAATATCAACAGTCGAATATTCGAAGTGGAGTTTCTCTATAAAACAATTTACAAATGAGGTAACTATTGGTTTTCCAGTGTTCGGACGTTTGAGTTTCACGTCTCGACATTTGGACTTTTTATGGAGATAGTTTACGTGCTACTTCATTTGGCTAAAGCACAAATAAAACGTAAAGCCTTCTTTGATAAAACGTTTGAAATCTTGGGAAATGTCCTACCTCATTAGCACAACAAGATGAACGCCAAATTCATAGTAATCACACCAATGGTAATAACGTATAAAAGAATGGACCGTGTATAAGGACATAGTACAGGAAGAAAGAATTAGTTCGTAGGAAAAAAGACAATTTCAATCTTACAGTTTAAGAGGAGACAGAGAATATACACCAACGCCACTGTGATCGATTCTGAGCTATGACACCCAGAGTATCCAACCATTGGTTACGATAGTCACGTGAACTCCAACCAAGCAATCTGCATCTACCAACATGGCTCAAACTAGAAGCTCGTGACTACAAGCACTGATGCCACGTTTTGGTTTAGCCGCCTTTAACTTTCTTACAACCGTCTCCAACACTAGTCAGCATTGCGCGGCTTAAGCCGTCTCATCTTCGTGCAAACTTTGTGGTACCATCTTTTGCACACAACGCACTACAACTCGATCTTCTTATCTTGGAGAAGTCGCAATAGAAAACTGGTAAAAGGGTAAAAAACACCGAAATTTTTCCATGGTTTGGAAAAATCCCCAAAATGTTTGGGTTTTCCCAGATACTTCAACAAAATCCCATAACACTTTAAGATTTTTTCCCAAAATTTGAGGGAAACTACCAAAATTTTCAAGGTTTTGGGGAAAACCCGAAAATTTACCTTCAAAATGGGGGATATCGGGAGTCCAGACTCCCGGCCGGGAGCTGGTAGTTGTTTTTCTTGCCCTATCTAGTTATTAATTAGTGTTTTTCATATGAACCAGACGCAAAATACGTAGAGATAAAAACTGACAACCGGACAAAAGGTGTAAAACCGTAAACTGTTAGATCTATGCAATTTTGCCCATGCGCATGGGCAAAAGTGCAAGTAAAAAATACCAACAACCTCAAAAAGTGCAGATGATAAAATACTCTCTAAAAAAGGTACTTCTAGTCTTAACTTAACTGTAACAAACTCAATTGGGGTGAAAATGTCAGTCTTAATGCGTGGTGAATGATGACAACATACTCAACAAGGGCAACGCTTCAGAGGTATCGTCCACTGATGGAGGTTGCGAGCACTTGAAGGTCAAACTGTTTCAACATGATTGGTGCGTGACATCGACAACTCGTGAAGTTTTTCAGAGGCGGTCAAATCAAGGCATTTTTAGATTTGAATTGAGTTCAGCTACACCATGTCTGATAACGTCCATCCTTCAAGTAACAAAGATGATGCCATCGTGATGATGCATGATATAGGACGAATCTTCAATGATATTATGTTATCTCGGAGATTTACAAGTTGGGACAATTTTGAGACCTGTTTGAAAGAAGTACATAAGGTAATATGACTTCTGTGGTTAATGATTATTTTTGTAGTATACGTATACTAGGTACGTTATGTCAGTATGTAAAAAGAACAATGATGGCCCAAATCTAAAATGCGTTCACAGTGGTACCCATGTTGTTGAAACCACATTGTAATTAATTGAGCTTAGACATTAAAAATATCAATAACATTTTACAACGTGTTCAAGCAAACACTGAAGTTAAAGTACTAAGTGAACATGGGAACATATCTATGATTTGCTTCAGTCGTAGGGAGCAAGTAGCTGTTTACCACGCGTTCCCAGAGGTAATATGTATCGACTCGACTTATCAGACCAACAAAGTTGGGTAAGTAACGAATCGCAATTTATTTATCTTACAGTTTTCCACTGTTCCAGCTAGTGGTGACTGATAGTCTTGGGCAAGGGCACACTGTTATGTATGCTCTTTGCAAGCAAGAACGACGAGATGTCGTAAAACTATTGGAATGCTTCAAAGATATAATATGCTGTACTTATGATACACACACTTTTGTTATGGATTCGGCAGCAACCGAAATTTCAGCAGTGCAGTCTACGCACAGTCATGCCGACATAGTACTTTGTTCATTCCATGTCATAAGAGCATTTTTCAGGAAGGTAAGTGTTAGCTGTTCAAATTATTTTCTGTAGTTCCGAAATCCTGATGTACGCAAATGCTTGGAACACCTTGTAAAGACTAGACGGTCTGATACACGAGCTTCGTTTTTCGTAACGCACTATATTAATTTTACTCAAAAGTACGAACATCCGAGGATCCATTTCCCACGGGCGTATGATTACATCAAAGATTACTGGATTGCCCGGAAGTCAATGTGGGTCCGTTGTTACCGGCGACAAGTAAATATCGTTCTCGAAAAGCGCTCATGTGAGTGGATATCTCCATCAGTTTCAGTTTTGAAAGGACAGGAGGTTAGGTGGCCTATGCTAGTCCCAACAGTCATGATATCTCAGTAGATCCAACTTTCATTTGAAATAGTCAACAGGTAGGGCTTCAAACACGTGTTGACTTAATTAATCTTACTGGTTGATGATTATACAGGAAAGTCGATAGTTCAGAATTACATTTGTGTAGTAAGGAGAGAAGGCCTACGGCCTATGTTACTCCTTTTTTAGTATGCTTCTATGAGTGTCCAACCTTCTCTTGAAAGAGTCAATTGAAGGTGCGGACACCACTGCTTCGGGCAGCAGGTTCCAAGGATTGATGACTCGGTGTGAAAGCCTGTATGCTACGGGTATTTTGTTCGTTCTTGGCTTTTCTACTCGCCTGCTATGTCCTCTGAGATGTCCCGATCTAGTGGGAAGAAAAAGAGTGAATAAATTAGGTCCGAAATCATTTCTCAGCATTCTGTACATCAAAATTAGATCTCCCCTTAATCTGCGATAGGACAGAGTAAAGAGGTTCAGCTTTTTAAACCGCTTATTATGTGGTAAACCCCAAAGTTCTGGAATTGCACGGATAGCTGCCCTCTGTACTTTTTCTAGGATATCCGATTCACATTTTAAACAGGGGCTTGCAGCCCGAACGCCGTGAACGTGGTATTATCTAACATATTGAATGTCCATTTTAATGCCCGGAGGGTTCGAAACCCCTTAACTGCAACCTCATGGAGATGGGCTGTCATCTTAAGATCATGACTCACTGTCACCCCTAGATCTTTATGAGACCGGACCACTGGTAATGGCACTTCCTCTATGTTGTACCTATTAACCTTTGAATCCCCAAAGTGCATGTGGACACACTTTGCCACGTTTATAGTCATCAGCCACTCTTTAGACCAGTTAATCATATTATTTAAGTCTGCCCGAAGAGCACATGAGTCTGTGTCTCCAGTTATTACTCGTCAGATCTTCAGATCGTTAGAGTATAATAACATTGGTGACTGTACTATACTTGGAAGATCATTAACATACATTATAAAAAGTAAAGAACCTAGGACGGAACTTTGAGTTACTTCACTTAATACTGGTCTCCAGATGGAGCACTTGGAATTTATTCTTACCTTCTGTCTGCGACCTACTAGGAAGTCCTTTATCCATTTTGAGAGAGGTCCGGCAATACCAAGGTTTTCCGACTTCAATAGCAGTCTATTAGTTAGCACCTTGTCAAAAGCCTTACTGAAGTCTATGTGGACAACATCCACTGAGTTTCTGTTGTCTAGCGTCTTTATCGAAGATTCTCTTGCTATGAGAAGGTTCGTTGTATAAGACAGACCCCTTCTATAACCATGTTCTTCTATGTTTAGCAAGCTATTGGTTTTCATAAATGGTCCGTTTGACTATCCTTCCCAATATTTTAACTACATCACAGCTCAGGCTTACAGGTTTGTAGTTCGACGGAGGTTGTCTTGGTCACGTTTTAATTAGCCGAAAAATAATTTACTTTGGAGTGTCCTTGTAAATTATCTGTTTTGGAAGGTGTTACGTCCTCGATCTGTTTACTCACTTTTGGTGCTAATGATAACTTGTCTAATCTAGATTAAGACCTTGACGCGATTGGCTGACCGGCTTAATCTTGAGGCTAGTACGCTTGAGTTCGAAGCCGAGCAGAGAGAAGAAAACTATTTTGTCACCTGATTGGCTGACAAGCACGCGACTGAGAGAAGACGAAACGACTGGGTCACTTCTCAATCTATTTACGATTTTCTGATTTCCCTGATTTCATCAGAAGGCAGGTAAAATAAGGACATATCAGACGCAGATTTATCACTAAGTAGTTCGAAAACTGTAGTCAAGTCACCTCTGGTTCTTCGATATGACAACGGTAGGCTAGGCCAGTCGAGCATCATATGGGAGCTTCGCCATTCCGAAAATCAGCTTAGTTGCTGCACCCTAAACCTTTTTCAAAGACTCACTGTCTTTCTAGTCAGGGGCTGGCCGCTTGTATGGGGTACTCAAGTTTAGGAAGCACGAATAATGTGTACAAAGTTAAGAAAGTTTTAGCGTCTACATCGCTAAAGGCTTTATGTATTGACCATAGGCTTCTAAAAAATTTGGTGGCTATTGCACGGCAGTGTGTAGTAGTTTATAAGTATTGGCTAACGATGACTCGTAAGTCATTATGTGTCTGGACGACAGGTAGCTCAATGTTATTTATCATGGATGTGTAGAATTACGGTTTACTATGATGTCAGCACTGCTCTGATAATAGACCTAATACTAAAATTGTAGATTTATCATGATGTAACTGCCTAATCTATAAGATCTTACGTGGAAGTTACATCATCGTCTACACCGATTCATTGCATTGTAACGAATACCAATAAGTGATAGAGAACAAGCTTAGGCTAGAGATAGAGTATATTTTATATGAATAGAAGATACAAGATAACATTCAGCTGGGACCACGCCTGCAAGGCCGAGCCTTGCCATCCGATCAACTCGGACTAATTCAATTTATTATTCCCGCCTTCTCCATTCTTCTGTATTCCTCCGCGTTAAATGTTTAATGTCTATTTCTCATATTGTCTCGTGGTAGGGCCCAATGCCACTACAGATGTATCTGTACCTTGAAGAACATTATGCATCACAATGTACTTGGAAGTATTTTTCTGCATTTGCCAAGTCTGAGACTATTCAAATAGTTTCCCCAGGTCATTTTGAAGCTCTAAGCTATTATATTTAATTCTTATCGCTCTCCACATCTTGACATCGTCAGCATACAGCAAGACCAATGGTGATTAGGACGAGGAAGGTCATTTACATACAAGAGGAATAACACTGGCCCCAAAACTTTGCACTGGGGCACTCCACAAAGCACAAATTCTCAGCTAGACAACTTAGAGTTCACCCGTACTCATCGTTGGCGCTCAACTAGGAAGTCTTATCCACGTTAATACATTACTTTAAACCCCGATATTTCTTAAGTTTTAAAATAGCAGGTCGTGAGAAACTTCGTCGAAAGCCTTGCTGAATTCAATGTAGGCTACGTCTATGAGTAAATTTTGGTCTTTAAGAGCTCACTAGCTTTCACGAGCCACTAATAAGTTAGTGGGACAGGAATGATCTATTCTAAAACCATGCTGCTTTTCTGAAAGGATTCGGTTTTCATCGAAGTACTGAAAAAGCCCCTTTCGAATAACTTTTTCTAAGATTTAACAACCACACTAGTTAGACTGAAGGGTCGGAAATTCCTAGGTTTATGTTTCGTGTCTGTTTTAGAGACAGGACATACAATGGCGTTCTTCCAGTTTTTCGGTAATCGACCTCGTGCTACGAATAGATTGAAACATATGCTAAAAGGATTCGTGTCGGCCAAAAGCACACAAACGTAAGAGGATTGCAAGTCTGGTCGAGAACCCTATACTTACTTACTTACGCCTGTTACTCCTAATGAAGCATAGGCCATCGATCAGCATTCTCCATCCCAATCTGTCCTGGGACTTCTTTTCTAGTTCCATCAAATTATTTTTCAGTTTTCTCAAGTCTATCTCTATTTCCCGGCTTAATGTGTACTTCGGTCTTCCTCTTTTCCTTAGGTCTTGAGGATTCCATTTGAGGGTTTGTCTTCTGACACAGTTGGGTGCTTTCCTTAATGTGCGTTCTATCCGCTTGCAGCGCTTCTCACTGACTTCTTCCTCCACTGGGATCTGGCTTGTTCTTTCCCAGAGTAGGATGTTGCTAATAGTGTCTGGCCAACGGATCCGAAGTATTTTGCGTAAACAACTGTTAATAAACACCTGTATTTTCTGGATGATGGCTTTTGTATCTCGCCAATTTTCCG